TTTAGTAGTTTATTTATTGATAGTTAATGATATATTTATTTTCTTCATATCTGCTTTTCTTTAGGATGATATTTTACCATTATTATCATAATATTTTGAAGATTTATTATGATATACTCTGATTATTATTGATATTTGACAATATATACTAATATTTTTTGTTTTTTTTAATAAAATCAATTAGATAATATTTTACAGATTTAGTAGTTTATTTATTTTACTATTATTATCATGATATTTTGAAGATTTATTATGATATACTCTAATTATTATTGATATTTAACGATATATACTGATATTTTTTGGTATTTTTAATAAAATCAATTAGACGATATTTTACAGATTTAGTAGTTTATTTATTGATATTTAGTAATATATTTATTTTCTTTATATCTGCTTTTCTTTAGAATGATATTTTACCATTATTATCATGATATTTTGAAGATTTATTATGATATAATCTGATTATTATTGATATTTTAACTATTGTTTATTGATTAATATAATATTAGCTTTATCATTTTGCGTCAATTTAATATTGACTGTTTTAATATATCGTAAGCAAATATTTATATTTTTTATTCTGATTTTATATTAAATCTAATATTTATCTATAAAAATATTTATGATATAAGCTTATATTCCGATTTTTAACAAACAATAAAATATAACAATATTTTAGTTATTGTCTTTTTTTCGATCTTTTTTCGCTTTACTCTTTTCTCTTCCCTTTTTTTTTTTCCCTTGTTTCTTTTTTTTACCTGCAACCTCACTTTCATCTTCACCTTCACCCTTACCTTCACCTTCACCTACGCTTTCACTCTCACCTTCACTCTCATCTTCATTCTCACCTTCTATATCTTCAGTACTATAAATTTGTGATTGACTTTTTGTTTTGACAACTTCACCTATAGGTGTTTCTGGCCTTCTTGGGCTAGACACTGGTGTTGTTAATTCAATTAGTTCTCCTGTTGCTAGGGTTGTTGTGGGTATTGTGGTTGCTGGGGTTGCTGTTTTGGAGTTGCTAGGGTTGCTGCATTGAAGATTGCTGAGGTTGCTGCTTTGGAGGTTGCTAGGATTGCTGCTTTAAAGGTTGCTAGGGTTGCTGCGGTAGTGGTTGTGGGCCTCTTCAATGCATCTTGTGGACTTGAAAGTAGAGAACTTCTTTCTTTATCAGTTTTTCTTCGTTTATATAGTACGACTCTATCTTTGTCACCTACATCATCTCTATTCTTCTTTTTACTTGTTCCTTCATCTTCTTTTCTTGTTTTTGTTTTTTCTTTTTTCTTGGATCTTCTTCCCCACTTGAAAAGTCAGCATCAAATTCCGATGCAGTGATATTATACCATTCTATTGCTTTGGATAATAGTGTCCAACTAGGGCAATCTGGGGGTGGTATCCCTTCTTTATCTATATGATCTTCATAGTGATGTTTGATCATTTATTTATTTTTACTCACAAATGGATCTATTCGTTTATGAAAAAGCCTTTTTAACTAAATGATATATTAGGGTAATATATTATTAATATATATATATTGTAAGCTTATGTGCATACTATGATAAAATTAGTTAGTATTATGTATAATACTAGCTAATTTTATCCTAGTACTTATAATATTTTGATAATAATATACTTATATGCGGCCCATGCCACCATTTGTCTACACACACTAATTTTTTCTGCTTCTTCTCATCCCTCTTTGTCGCATCCTCATCTGTTACCCATTCTTCAGCAGAATGATATGCGTTTCCTCTTTTGCTTCTTGTCAATAACTTCAAATCATCACACGAGTATCTTATAATTTTTTTATTTTCTGACTTAATTAAAAAAGACAACGTCTTTCACCTTCTTTTTCTCTTTTAATTTCATAAAAATAAAATATTTAATTATTAAAATATATAATTCCCAAAAGTCATTTTCTTATATGTCACATACCGATATAGCACTGGATAATATTGCATGACAATCCCTATAAAGATAATCTGAACTTAAGTAGATAAATTAAAAATATTCAAAATCTATATGATATCGGTATGTGATTTATAAATAGTTAATAACTTTTGGTAAATTAATTTACATAAAGTCAATATTATATTATTCTTACCTTATTAGTCTTACTATTTCACCCTATTCTGATATGATTATGCAACTGTAAATTAGGGTTAGCGTTTATTTGTGCAGTACATATCTGCATCTTATGATGCTGCTTTAGAATCCTCTCAATCGCACCAGAATATTGCTTATACCCAGGCAAATTTTTAATTAATACCAGAATTAACTTTTGTCTTATAGCCTTCAACTGATCAGACCATTTGACCTGAGAATCCGGTTTTAAAGAGGATAATTTACCCCTCTATTAATATTTTAATTTCGTCCTATAATAATAATAATAATTATTATTATTATTATAATTATAATTATAATTATAATAATAATCTATTAAAAAAAAGACAGAGATAATAAATATATTTATACAAAAATAGGTTGTTTGCTTTTAAGTTAGTTGTTTTGGTGGTCTATGATTATTGCTACTGCTACTACGACTGCTGCTACTACTAGCAGAGCGGACACTGCTGCCAGAATGACTTCCACTTCTTTTACTATCTGATCGCTCTTTATCAACTTCGCTACTAGTAGTGCTAGCACTACTAGAGCTAGAGCTTGATAGTTCAACCGCTCTTTCTTTTTCTTTACTTTTGAGTACAGTGATTGCTTCTGCAACCGTCTTAGAAATAAATTTCACACTTACTAAAAAATATTATATATTAAGTTAATAATTAATAAATTACTATATCCGCTTATTATCAATCTTACATTTTTTTTTATATTTACGTGATCTCTTCTTAGACCTCTTCTTAGCCATTTTGCTATTTTCAGCTTTAGATAAATGCTTCTCTTTACCTATTTTAAATGATCGTTTAAATATTTTAGATGATTTAAAGGTGAAGTTACATGGAATAATAAATACGAATGACTAAAAATTGATTTTACAAAAACTTAGGAAATATATCGTCTTTTATAAATATTATATCAATAATTAATATTGCTTAAATAAAAAAATTACTTTAATAGGAAGATATGATATCAAACTTATTAATTACTAGATTAGAGGTCAATTTTCAGGAAGTTTCTTTATTTGAACAATAAAAATCCTAAAATCCATATGTATAAATTCTTCTGTACTCAAATAAAAATTGAATATTTGAAACAATTATATTAATATCACTATAATATCGTTAATTAAATTATTGATTACATTGAAATAATTTACCTTTTGTTTGAAAGATATATATTCGAACAATATGCTCAAATAAAATTAAACAGTATATATTAATATCGCTTAAAAAAAATTACTTTAATAGAAAGATACGATATCAAACTTAT